TAAGAAGCAATTTGGGTTTAGAAGAATACTTGTTATTTTGTGTTGTCTCGGTCATCGAGGCTCTTAAGCAACATGGGCCAAATAAGCTAAAATTTATAGGCCCAATGACAATAGAAAATAAAATGGGCATTTTCTTTAAAACCAATAAAAAAATTTTGTTAAATAAAATAAGTGGCCCAATACCATAAAAGTTTAACATAAGTTTACCCGGGTTTAAAGTCTTGCATTAGTGAAAATTATTTTTAATAATAATATTATTTTTTTTCAGTCGAACAAGCAATAAATATAAAAAAGAAGCGCTTTTTAATTAATTTAAGCGATAGGCAATTTTAGGCACGTTTGAGATGTAGACCATGTGTTCATACACGGTCCTTGGTCGTTATTATTATTATTATTATTTTTAATAAAGTAGTCATGTGTGCATTCCCGCTCCTTGACTCTTCAATATTAATTGTATTTAAACCATGTGTACCGACACGTTCTTTGTTTTAATACATATAATCAAATAAGGACCTTGTGTGCTTGCACGCTCCTAGGCCAAAATTATTAATTATTAAGCGGTACTAGACAATAGTAACTTAAGGCAAATAATACACACTTTATCCAAAAATAATTCAAGCCAAATTTTAGTCAATAAAAGCGACCGTGCTAGAACCACGGATTCGGGAAATGCCTTATACCTTCTCCTCGGTTAACAGAATTCCTTACCCGGACTTTGTTTTCGCAGACCAATAATAATAGAGTCAAATCTTCCTTTGATTAGGGATTCAAATAAAAGGTGACTTGGAACACCAACAAAATCAATTCCAAGCGGCGACTCCGTAAATAAAATAATCCCTACTCAATTTTGTCACTTTAATTGGAAAAACCCTTTAATCCACACAATATTACTTTGCGGGTAGAAAAAGGGGTGTGACAGCTCTGGCGACTTTGCTGGGGACATTAAGAATTCGAGCTTGTATATTGACTTTATTTGGCTTTATTAATTTTTGTATATATTGTGATTTATTTGGGCCTAATAATATATGTACAAGTGATTGTGGCTAAAAATAAAAATAACCGGACAAGGGCCGGATCCCTGAAGCACAAAATGAAAGATGGCCCAATAAGGAATAGGCCCAACTCTTCGGAAGCTCATCCGGGATATGGGCTTAGCATTAAGGATCTATCACATATTTTCTAACTAGTTAAATTATTCGCGCTTCGTGTAGTTGCAAAAATATTAAATTGAATGAAATAAATTGTAGTAATAATAAGAAAAAAAATAGAAATGAAAGAAATAGAAAAATATAATAAAGAAAGTAATGGTAGGAAAGAGGGAGTAAAGAAGAAAAGAAATAATAGAGGATAGATAACTTTTATATGCATACGGATAAAAAATTTCTATTCTATCTAACAATCTTATAAAAATTAATAATTAAATAGGAGAGAATAGAAAAGAACATAAGGTATTTAGACTTTTTGGGCAATACATTAATACATTAATGTTATCCCCATTTTGCCCGAAAAGTCGTTCGACATTTTTTGTTCATTTCTTTTCTCCTATTTAAAATATTTACATTGTTATTGTTAATTTTTTAACCCAAAACCCCTATTGCCACCTACTCGGCAAAGTATAATATAAAATTAGAAGAAGCGAGATCCTCTAGTTTTATAAAAGAATATTGACTAAGATTTTAGGATTATTGTTGATTGCCTAATGTTACGGAAAGTCAGTACAATATGAGATGCTTAACTGCATCCTTCTCTATATCAAAATTTCTCTATATCAAAATTGACGGGAAAAGAGTATTTTGTAAAATATACCCGTACAATATCTTCTCCCTTAACACGCAAAATACATTAATCTTGTCATTCATATTTGGGATCGGTGCCAGAGTGGTACTAAATAGATCAAATCCTGGGCTTTCATGTTTTGTTTTTGAAGTACTAAAGTATAAAACTTCATGCTTAGTTGTTCATGCAGACTACAGGACAATAACTTAGTGATTATTGAAACAATTGGGTATCAAGACAATCATTTTCTTTTTAGACATTGTTCATTGACGAAAAAAGCAACAAATAAAATGAGCCAAAGATCCATTGTTCATAGACCAAAAGAGCAACAAATAAAATGAGTCAAACCTTTGCCAAAAATTGGGTATTAAGACCACTGTTCGTAGACTTAGTAATTATGCAGCATTAAGAATGGCCGGTACTTCGCTAAATGTTACTACGTCTTTTAGGGAAACAAAAGGACGGTTAGGGAATTGAACGTATTGAGTGCATAGGCATTGCTTTTAAACATTATGTCTTTTTGGAAAGGGATGCCATGACTATTGGGTTTTTCATGATAAAAATCGAAGGGCAAAACAAATTAATCGTAAAAAAAATAAAACTCTTCCTGTTCAATGAAGCTGCCACATCACTGGGCTAATGCCTCTCAATTATATAAATACTAGTGATATAACCTGCGCTACGACGCTTAGTAAATTTATATTAATTGATGTTATTATAAATTTAATTTAAGATAGAATTAGATTAAATTTTTAATTATATATACGATAATTAATTTATATATTTGATAAATCACAAATACAAATATTTGTATTAGAAGTAGAACTAAGGTGAACTACATTTCTCATTAGCACATTTACAATATATATATATATATATTAACAACAACAACAACTCAGTATAATTCTACTAGTGGTGTATGGGGAGGGTAGTGTGTACGCAGACCTTACCCCTACCCTGTCGTAGAGGCTGTTTCCGATAGACCCTCGACTCCCTCTCTCCAAGAACCCATCACCTTGCTCTTGGGTAACTCGAACTCATATATATNTATTTTAATATATTTATTTCTGTTAGATAGTAGAACTTTTTTGTTTTTCTAAAAAAAATTATATTCAAAAAACATGGAGATAAATTGAAATGTAAAGGAATTTAGAGCTGACACTTGACAGACAACAAACCAGAAGAAAGAATAACATTTCCGTTAGACTTTCAGCCTTTTAGGTTTCGTGCATAAAAAAATAGTCAGATCAATTAAGCAGGCATCCCATGTTATCAGTAGAGAATGAATCTCCATTTAAAGTAGTAATATTGCGATAAAGTAAATTTTATCTCAAAAAACTTGAAGATTCTATGTCAGAATTCACACAAAATTAGATAGTTTGATCTTGTACTCCAAATCGTCTCACATGAAATGGGATAGAGGTAGTGATAAATTTCGACGAAGCGGTATCTACGCCCCTGTAATTTTGGCAAAGGTTATCGTCAAAAATAATCAAAATACAATGGGACTGAGATTGAAAAAGAGGGATTTCTTATTTCCTTTAAACTTGTCAGAATACACTGATATTACTATGTCAATAAACGTAGTAAAAATATTACGTAAAACATTTAAAGGAATATTTATATACTAAGCCACTGCTTCACGATCATCACAATCAGCCACAGCTATAGTTTTCCTACCGTGTACATTCTTGTAGGAATAGTTCCTTGCAACAAAAACATACACACACAAATTTACTGCTGTAATGGTAGCTAACAACCAGTAAAAATAGTCGAGCCGACTACTATTTAGATCCTTCCCAAACCAACTCTTGCCACCCTTTTCTGTGATATGATCCACAATAGTTATCAAGAGGCTGCTAATAAAATTTGCAGCACCAATCACACTAAGGTAAAGTGCAATGCCTAAACTTCTCATGGAATCAGGTACTTGGTCATAGAAGTATTCTTGTAATCCCACTAAGGTAAATCCATCTCCTATTCCGATTATAAGGAATTGTGGGGCTAACCAGAACACACTCATTGAAGCTGAACCCTCGAGTGGATTTTTATGAACAATATTCAATCTTTTTCTTTCGACCAGAGCTGCAACTATCATAGTAGAAACAGAGAAGATCATTCCAATACCGATCCTTTGGAGAATACTAATGCCTCTTTCGTTTCCTGTTGCCCGTCTTAGGACAGGTACGAGAATTTTCTCATAGATAGTGACAGATATTATCATGCCAAATGCTGCTAAGGCAAAAATTGAGGCAGGGGGAATCTCAAAATTGTGAACAATCTTTCGGTTCAGTGTCACGCCTTGTTTGATGAAAAATGTTGCAGCTTGTGCTACACAAATACCAAATGGTATAGTGGTTAGCCAAATGGGAATCGTGTTGATAACTAGCTTCAATTCTTCCACCTTGGTCACACTTGCAAGTTTCCATGGATTCTGCTGCTGTTCTATTGAATATTGTTTGTCGTCAAGAATCGCAGCTTTATCAAGGAACCTATAAAGTAGAGTCACAAATGTGTTTCAATAGTACCTACATTGAATTAAAGAGTATATTCATAACAATAATCATGACTAAGTTTCAAATCTTACTTCAGCTTCTTGGTGTGACATAAAAGCCTCCTTTGGCTAGTTTCTGATTTGGGAATTTCATGTAAATGGGAAGGATTAGAAGGAAGATGAAGATTTCTTTTTCTAATTGCAGCTACAAGCACCTGTAACATTGGTGTTAATGGACTTCCAGTTGCTTTTCTATAACGATAGAACGGTCTCCCTGCAATAAAGATGACTAAACTAGAAGCCATAACTAGTGTGAGGATCAAATCTGCCATAGCCCAACTAATGCGGTCTTGAACATAAACGATAAGAGTAACACCAAGTAATAGTCCACAGCATAGCCCAAAATTCCACCAGTTGAAAAAAGACATTTTCTTCTTTTTTTCCGAAGGATGATCATCATCAAACTGATCAGCTCCAAAGCTCTCAAGAGAAGGCTTGTGCCCTCCTGTCCCAATTGAGATTAGGTAGATCGCAAGGAAGAAAATCGCCTCGTGGACTTTTCTAGGTTCATGACAGAGGTCACTATCACAAGGTTTCAGACTAGGAACCACTCTAGACATTGTCAAGAGAAGCAAGCCCTGCATTAACAGAACAAGGGAAAAAGTTATTTATTAAAATTACTCCATCCGTTTCAATATAGATGACACATTTTGCTTATCGAGGAGGGAAATTGTGGTTACCAGGAGGTAGACAGTGGTTGAGATAAGAACTGTAGAAAATCTTCCAAAGTATGCATCAGCCAGAAAGCCTCCAAGCAATGGCATTAAGGTGGTGACTCCTGACCAGTAGTTCACACTTTTTGCTGCTGTTTTGAGGTCTTGATGTATGACTTTTGTTAGGTATATAATCAAACTTGTTGCTAATCCAAAGTAACTCAACCTCTCACTGAATTCAATTACTGTAAGAAAGGTAACAATTAATTCATCACTGTCTCTGATATGCATAACCATGAAGGAACATGTTAACAAAGTGAAAATCTAATCACCTCTTTGATTATTCTTAACCAAGTGAATCAATATAAAGCTCATCTATAGTTATGCTTAGTGGCAATTGAAATTTTAAGATAAAAATTATGTAAAGAAAAAAATGTTGTGTGTAGATACTGTCTAATATTTTGTGTCACTGGGATGATTCTAGCACAATAGCAGCAGCAATGGCTGGAGTTAAGCTTTGGAACTTATGTTGGGAATCTAAGCTGCTCAGACTCAGGTGCGGATATTCAGTACGGGCACGGATCCGAGTGTCGGATTCGGCAAAATCTAAACTTTAAGATTCGGGGTGCGGATCCAGGTATAGATACAGGTGTGGGAATTCGACTAAGAAAATTAAAAATTATAAAAGATAGAGCTATAAAGAGAAAAAGAAAGCCATTCAAGGCTTCCACCAACTCTCCATCTATATCGCTGCTACTGTCTATCAAAAGTCCGAACTCAGAACACAACCCCTTGAATTCTTGATTTTTCTGAAACACAAAGCAGCAAATATGAGACAAAAGTACTACAATATTGAAGGTATGTCATTTTCCATGTCTTAGATTTGTTTTATTTTTGATGTTGAGAAATCAAAATCTCAATTTTCCCCCAAATTTGTCGATAGACTCAGGTCAAAGTATCCGAAATTAGTTGACCGAATCCAGGACGTACCCCGCACCCGCACCTATCCCGTGTCGAGATGGGTGCGGCACCAAAAACAAAGAGTCCGCGCAACTTAACTGGGAATACAGTTCTTACGATTCAAATAGTGACCATAAACTTTCTATTTACTTAATCTATTTTATTTTTTTAAATAATAGAAAATAATGTGTCGCGGACAGCAGTGAATTATCCACTTGACAATAATTGGCCAGTTGCTATTTTTGTCAAGAGTGTCAACTAAGTGATAAGAAAGTCTATTTCTTGAGCAGTGCTAATCAATATCTAACGCGCTTAACAAGCAATCTAACTACTGTTTTGTGGTGTGCTTATGACCAACAAATGTCTTGTTTCAATGGGGACTGGTTTCAAAGCAATTTTTCTTTTGCTGAAAGATGAACTACTTGATCATGTAAGTGTTATTTTTCTTAGTGGATATCCTTAAAATAAAAGATAATTGAAGAGAATAAATAACTCAACGGAACATAAGTGGAAACAAGAAAGACAAAACACCAAATATATCTCATCAAGTTTCTGGTTTTAGGAACTTTTCCAGATAAGTTGGCCGGGGTCCATAAAATTTAAGAGAATGAGACAAGATATGGTGAGTAACACATTAAGTAACATTACACTAGTGCTTTTGTGGCCCCCCATAACGACGTGTGTCTATTATTTGTGCTTCTTTTCCCCCCTTTAATCTTCAAATGCTATAAGCCAAAAAAAAAAAAGTCTAGAAGCCTCTAAACCTTCTTGTGCTTATAGCATATCTTATCCCCTTCTCTGGTTTATGGAACACCGTAAATTTCATCTTTATTTTTATTAATTAAATATGGTCTTTCTTGCCAATAAAGAGAAAAGTCGTCAATTTTACAAGATAAACATGGTAATTTTTTGGCTTAATACATAGTTGACCTCCAAGCTTGTAGTCAAATTCCTTTGACACGCCTCAGTTTTACAGTAAATGTTTTACACGCCAAACGCTACCCTCGCCAAGGGTGTATTAAAGCCACCCTTTTAAGTGCTTTCTTGCCCCTTTTAATGACTTACCTACTACTTGTGATGACAGAAATGGAACTATTGACAAACCAGAAACGTAGTTTAGACTTATGAAAAAAGTGAAAATGAAATTTAGTTTTCTGGCCAATTTCCTTGTATATATTAAAATCTATTCTAGCTAGAGTTAAGGTCATGACTAGACATAAGCCAAGTTTATTTCCACCTTTACTTGTCAATTGTTATCGGAGGCGAATATAAGATTTAAAAGTGATGTATTCAATCTTTAAGGTTCATAACATTATCTTTAACTATTTTGAAAATTGTGGCGTCAACATTAATATATGTATATATGTATTTATGTATATCAGGTAGGAGCGAAACTACATGTTTTAAAAGACTCATATAAATAAAATATAAATTTTAGCGGTACATCAAACACCTTTTCGAGTTTGAATATCTTTAAGAAAATTCCTAACTAAGTTTCAGTTGATCGCATTAAATATAAGCTGAGTGCTCCTCTGGTTGACACTTATCACAGCGTAGGACTAGAACTAACAGAGGAAGCCATTCTAACTTTAAGAGAAAAACTGACTTCAGATATACAAGTGAAACTATTTGGGTATGCATGGACAAATACTTACCTATAATGAAGAGGGAGGCTTTCCAGACACCAGTTGAACCCCTAAGAGGAACTCTTCCTTTATGATCCACAGAAGAATCACAAACCCATTTTTGCTCATCATCAATTTCTACTGATTCTGCTTTCTTTATCTGCTCCATTTCCATATTTATCTTATCCACTTTTTTTTTACTCTAAAATACCAAAGAAGATATATCAGTACTACTAATTAAAGTGGATGAGATAACAAGTTGGTGGGTTGGCTGCTTTGGTTTTGCTCACCTTATATAGAAAGGGGAATCCCTGTTGACTGCTATTGACAAAGTTTCTAGATCGATTATGTGAGCCAAAAATGTAAAAGTAATTAAATTGAATGAATTGTCAATGATTGTGACAGAGGAAGAACAAACAATCCCTTCCACTAAATTAAAGTAGTCTTTTTTGGCCCTTAATATGTACAGGAGGAATCAGCACCAAAGACCTTTCACCGGAAAATTACACTGTATATTTAGGTAAATTTTTTTTAAATATGTATATATACTATATAATGACACTCATTGACTTTTTGATGAGTTTATTTCTTTATGTTTTGACTCCCTTTAATGAAAATCATGGCTATGGTTGTGCCACATGGAGGAATATCATATCTCCTATTTGTCGACATGTCATACAACTGGCTATCATGACACATATAGTAAAGGTCTGCAACACGACTCTAACACTTAGTGGTCGCTTGGTTGAGAATTTGTGTCGCTATAAAAGCTTATTATTGAGGTAATAATTGAAATCTTAAGTTAAATTATTATCAAATTTAAAAAGGAATCAAGTCTTTTCAGAGCAAACATAAAAGAAATAGGGTCACTCAAACTGAAACGCAGAAAATATCAAGTTTTAGGCATAAAAAATAATAGTACTAGTTTTAGCTAATATCTCCAACCAAACACAAGATAAATTTAATCTCAAAATTATATCCGAATAATCAACCTAATCCTTTGAACCAAACTGCCCCAAAACATTTACGAGAGGCCTAAGTGTACATGTTTTCTGAGTTGTATATTACTTAACTGCAAATATCAAACATCCACTATACGTGACCAAGGTGTAGGCAAATCATGCACTTATTAGTGCTTTAATTGCATCGGCCTTATCTATACGTCTGGTAATCTATATTATCCCAATACTTAGGTTCTTTGTAAAACTTCGCTTTAAGAAAATCATATATTGGGGGAAAGTTAGGGTTCATATAAGAACGAATTCTTGATTCAATTATTCATGAGATGTTTTTGGAGCCTTAAAAGGACGAAATCGTAAGCCCCGAATATTAGATCAGAACAATAAGGAAGGGATTAGTCGTGGATTTCCTATTGGATTGTTTCTCTTTCCCAATTAATGATATACTATGAGATTCTAAGTATAAAAGGATTGGCGAGTTTAATATCTAATTATTTTCTTGATGGAATTGGAATCTCTACTTAAGTTGGAGTTTACAAAAACTTAAAACAAGGAAAACTACTCGAAATTTGAGATTTGGCTCAGTGCGTTAGGTGTTACGAGAAACCCTATCGGGAAAGAGTGCAATATTGGCATTTTCAATCTAGCTTATAATATCAAGATTTTTCCTCTAATTCCTCGTAACAGTAGGGAATATTCTGTAAATGTCGTTCTTGAAAGCAATGTAAATTTATCCAATCGCATCTATGTGTATGTTGGGAGTCCGGAATCAAAATGTGGTTCGTTTGGGTTCTTTTGGATTCCAACGACCGAAATATGTGAAAAAAAAATATAGTGACCAAAATATATATAATGCCCTTTAAAAGGGCGTTATACTTGAATTTGAAAAGACGGGCAAGTATAGCGCCGTTCATTAAGGCGCTAAACATATTTTGTGGGCCCACAAATAATTCTTCTCGGCTTAACTGACATAACAATAATTCAACTGGGTATAGCGCCCTTATTTAAGGCGTTATACCTAAAAAAATTGTACCCCAGACTGGTTTTTTGCCCTATTTAAGGAGGTTAAGATTTTTTTTTTAAAAATCCATTCATAAATATTCTCAAGTCTTCTGAAATATTTTTTCGTTAAGTTGTTTTGCATTTTGTCATAATGTTTGAAGAGCGAAAAGTAAGGGTTTCATTATATTGGGGTGGGGTGGGGAGGGGTGAGGTTGTGGCGGTGAATAACTCAGTAACCTATAGTTTATCTCCACAGTGTCATGTTAAGTTGCCACTTACAATGGAGTACGATAAATTGGTATCGTTGTTATATAAATAAATGAGTGTGACCAAATGTTCGGTGAACCTTAAAGTAACCGGAAGATATCTGTATTCTGTCACTCCGCAAGGGGTTGCTTGTTATGCTGAGTTTAACATCGAGGACGATGAAACTCTGAGAGATATTTTGAGAAGTTCGGATGAATACCGGGAATTTCTTGTGATAAAAATATTGAAAATGTACATCAAGGTTGAAGACGTTCGCAATAATGAGGCTGCGCAAAGCAGGGATATCCCTCAGTCATCGGGTGGTTATTTTGGAGCAGTTTTAGCCGAACAGGTTCCGGCTGAAAGAGTTTGTCCTGATCTAAACTTATCTCCACGGGCGAATGAGGAGCGAGAAAATAATTTCTCTCCTAGTTTACATAATCCACAAGACGAGTGATAAACTTCAATTTTTCTTTGTGTTACGGTGTTTATTTTTGCTGTATTGAATTTGTATTAATACTCATATATTCCACATGGGGTATCGGCTAGATATGAATTTTACAAGTTATGAACCAACGCCTAGTTGGAATATGCCTAATTTTGGTGTGTTGGATCATGATGGTCCATTAGGGAGTCATCACCAACAGGATAATGTCCATCATGGGATGTCAACACATTACGATTTATAAGTGAAGTGATATAAGTATATGTAAAGTATTTATCAATTTGAGTAACTCATTATTTTGTTGGTTGTGCAGTGAAAATGAGCATCCTAAAGGTCTTGTCCTTACTCAATTTCCCGAAGACGACATACTTAATCGGGATCTGGCAGATGCACAGAGTCACGAAGAGAATAGTGATTATGACAACAATGCTGATGAGTCTGGAGATGACACACCCTTCCCTGATGAGGGTGATGATGAGGAGGAAGAGAATGTTAGACTTGATTTGATGAGGGAGCATGCTCCCCCCTCCCCCCCATTAGACTAGGAGTGTACGAGTCCCACGTGCTGTTTCATTCAAGGGAGATTCCCTACCTTGATCATTTGCCAAGTATGCCGGATGTGGATGCCCTCATAAGGGATATTGACGAAATTCGGACAACAATGTAGGATGAATCTAGAGCAACGGTGTTGTCAAAGGGCATGTTTTTTCCCGATAAAATACGCCTAACCAAGACGGTGCTAATGTACAGCGTAAAAGAGTGTCGTGAGATCACGGTATGCGAGTCATCTCCATATGTATACAAGGTAGTCTGTCGTAGATGGTTTACGGGTTGTAATTGGATGTTGCGTGCGAGGAAGAAGAAAATTAATATGTGGGTTGTGGGTAAATACATTGACACACAATTGTGAAATGGACACATTCAGTGGGAATCATTTTAACTTGAATACTGACTTGATTTCTCTTGTCTTGATTCCATACATTGAAGCGTCCATAAGGTACAAGATCAAAGAGTGTATAACATCCATCCACCAGGAATATGGGTGCACCATTACCAAAAGAAAGGCATTTCTCGGGTGCAAACATGCGTTTGAAATTATTTATGGTAACTGGGATAAGTCCTTTGCATCTCTACCCAGGTACATGGCTGTATTGCAACACTTTAACCCCGGGACTGTTGTTGAATGAAAGCTTGAGCGGAGTCCGGGAATACCAGAACATATATTCAAATATGTGTCCTGGGCATTTAAACCAGCAATTGATAGTTTTTTGCATTGTCGGCCGGTAATATCCATAGACGGCACTCATGTCTATGGAAAGTATGATATTAAGTTGTTGATCGCCGTTGCAGTAGATGCTAATGGAAGTATATTTCCCTTAGCTTTTGCTATTTGGGCCAATGAAATCTACGAGACGTAAACACTATTTTTGAACCACTTGAAAGAGCACGTTATTAAACATCGTTCAGGTATTTGTCTAATATCTTATCGGCATGGTGGTATTTTAAGTTCTGTACAGAATTTGCGTGCATGGCAGGAACTGTATGCCTACCACTGTTACTGTGTGAGGCACCTGAAGGCCAATTTCTAGAAGGCATATCCTAATAAGGATTTAATTTGAATGGCTGTAACAGATCACCAAGAGTGTAAATTCAGGAGGCATATGAAATCTATCAGGCAAGAAGATGAGGGAGCATATCGTTAGTTGATGCGACATGATCTTGACAAAATGGACTTTGCATGCGGATGGTGGCAAAAGATGGAGAATTTTGACTACAAATGTGTCAGAGTCTTTCAACGGGTTATTGAAGTCTGCACGAGGATTGCCTGCCACTGCCATGGTGCGGATGTCATTCAAGCAGATGACGGAGAGGTTTGTTGAAAGGGCTAGAGGTGCATCGTCATTGATGGAAAGGGGTGTTGAATTTATGCCAATACCAATGAAAAGATTTGAGAAATACAGGAAGCGAGCACATTGGCATTCATTTTTGCAGTATTGCAAAGAGCGAAATATTTTTAAAATTCGCACCGCTATTCATCACAACCGGGGGAATAATACACACATCGTAAATGAAGCCAGAAGGTTATGCTCTTGTGGGAATTGGTCCATCTACCACATGCCGTACTCATATGCCATCAAGTGCTTTCAACATACAGGTTTAGGGAAAACCAACTACGTTGATAAAGAATATAGTATTGCTATACTTAAACATCTATAGTGGGCAGTTACAGCCAGTGAGTGCTGAGCATTATTGGCCGCTGGAACCATTTAAAATGGTGTATAACAAGGACTATGTACGTCAATGACAGGTGCAAAAAAGAATACGTATATGGAACCAAATGGATGTTGGTAATACCGTTTATGCACGCAAATGTGGAATATGCTCGCAAACAGGACACGACCGTCATAAATGTCCTTCAGCTGGTTTGGGTGGCGGTGGTAATCCAGCTCCTGGTGGAAGTTCATCTAATGTGCCCAACTATCAAG